AAAAATTTCTCCCCCACCCCAAAAAAGGGCGGCCCCCCCCCCCCCCCCCCCCCCCCCCTCCGAGCGATGAGGCGTACGGTCCGCACGCGTGCTTGGATAAATGCGCTCCTTCCTTCCTGACATGCTTGCATCGATGCATCCGAGAGCGGCGGAACTCTTGCCGGTTCGTTCCCCACCACCAACGCAAAAAAAAAGAAGCATTCCTAAAAGACAGGTGCAGACATCGCCCTTGGCAGTGAAGCGCTTCATGCTCAACCATATACCAAACATTCGAAGTTGAGCGCCGTTCGTGAGTCTGGCTATGAACTCATACACTAAAACCTATACAAAGGACATTCGTAGCCCACAAGGGGACTACAATAGAGTAGCCTCGGGCAAAACTAGAGGTTGTGCAGTGCGGGCGCAATCTGTGGCCCACGTTTGGTCTTCTATTCATAGTTTCCCTTTTGTCTATAGAAAAAATGTGGCCCACGTTTGTTCTTCAATTCATTGTTTCCCCTTTATGTCTTTTGAAAAAAAGTGGCCCACGATTGGTCTTCTATTGAATGCTTCCCTGTATGTCTTTTGAAAAAAATATCGTTCCATGTTGCGTCGGTCGGGGGTTTGCCTTTCTCTACTCGCCTCCACGTGAGCCTTGAGAAGGTTCCCCAGAACGACCCCCGACTTCTGCAGCGCCGCGAGCTTCCCCGGGGGGAACATGCCGATCGCGTACCCGTTCGCCGTGCACACCTCCGGCTCGTTGATGGTGCACCAGAGGGACACCTGCAAGAAAATAAACGAAAGAAAAAATGATTGTTAGCGGAAGAACTAGGAGCATCTCCCAGGTCTACGCATTTACTAGGGTCAATGAAAGTTTACTGTGAACGGAAGAATTCGGAACATCTCCCAGATCTACGAATGTATTAGGGCTTTATTGTTGTGCCGCCCTGGAGTCGTTGATGATTCACCAGACAAAAAAGTTGCCGTCAACTAGATTCGAACTTTTATGGCACAAGGTGGTGCATTTCATTCGCAAAACGGGGCTAGTGTGCTTGGCGACTAGAACGTGTTGCCGACGCAAGTGTTGGCACACACCAAGCCCCCCCTGTCGAGGCGTTTTTCTCGCTTTACAGGCCGAACGCCTCCGCAAGACAGGAGCAGAGGGCGAAACCGTCTTAATACGTGGCCTTGGGAAAAAAACAAACACATGCGGTTACATCTCGAACGGGTACATCGTCTCTCTCTGATTGTATGTATGCATATTTTATATGAGAACAAGCACAGCCGTCTCTCTCGTCGGTAGCTTCCCGAGAATGAATACAGGTGGTGCAGGCATACCGCTCTGCACATGCCACGGGCTGCTGGGCAATCGAACGAGCCCGAACAAGGACGAACTAGTATAGACACACACAAACCCTGCTGCGTAGAAAACGAGTCGGTACGAATCGAAACTGCCCGCCCCATCCTGAACACTTACATCCCAACCGTGCCCCACCCTGCCCCTTCCGAAAATCACGCCGAAACTAACAAGCAGACACGTTTTGCTAAGCATGGCCAGTGGCACGTCGAGAATATTCACGGCTGGACACCGGTATCTCCACGCGACATGAGCATACTTGTTGCGTGGGGGACGTTTCACGAGCCACATCATCACGCGTTTGATGCGGGGGGGGGGGGGGTATTCCACTGCTACTAACCTTCCCGCCGTATTCCCGGGACATCCCCCCAGAAAACCCCCCGAACGCCCCCGGGGAAACGCCCTCCTCCAACCCCCCCCGGGCTTCCCGCCCCAAGGGGGGGGGGAAGTGTAACAGGGGGACCCTTGGCACGATGCCCCCTGGGAGGAGGAGGGCAATCTCCCCCTGGGAATGATCCAAAACCCCCTGTTCCGGCCCGAAAGCGGGGGGGGGGGGGGGGGGGGGGGGGCCCCAATTTTTAAAAAAAAAAAAAAAATTTTTTTTTTTTTTTTCTGGGGGGGGGGGGTTTTTTTGGGGGGGGAAAAAAAAAAAAAACGGGAAAAGAGGGGCAAAAAAAAAAAAATTGGGGGGGGGGTTTTTCCCCGAAAAAAAGGGGTTCCCCCCTCCAAAATTTTTCCGGGGGCCCCCTTTTTGGGTTAAACCTTTTATTTTAGGGTCCCCCCCCTTGGCCCGGGGGGGAATTTTTCCCCTTTTTTTAATTTCCCCCCCCCCCCGAATTTTTGGGGTTCCCCTTTTTTTCGGAAAAATATTTAAACGGCCCCCCCCCCCCCCCCCCCCCCCCCCGCCGAAATTATCATCGACAGCTTCTTCCTTCTCCAACGTGACTCAGGGCTGTCAGAATACCAACGTTGCAGTAGAGCAACCAACAGCCTCCGTTGTAGACTGCAGTCAACGCTACAGAAGCAGCCTCCATCGAAGGCTGACTGCAAAAGTCGTGCTTGCTTGGTTCTGTTGCGTCTACCGTGTGTACCCCAACCCGTGCTCACCTCGAAGATGAGGTATCGCTGCGACGCCGGTATGTCCTTCTTCGTGACGAGCTCCACGATCTTGGGCAACGTCATGGGGAGCCGCTCCTGCAAAAAAAAAAGGAAGCACCCAGCCGCTCATCTTAAGCCGGTTGCCCTGTTCAAGGCAGGTGAAATCGCTTGGCACAGATGGATCGAATATGCAACTTGTCTAATTCTGAATAGTGTCAGGTGCCCGACATAACAAGGCCGGCCGAATACCCTGGACCGCACATGTAGAGGCCTCAAACAGGGACCTCTACTGCATGACAATGTGGATATCACCGCCAAGAGCATGTACCTCGGGGTATGCAAAAATTCAACAATTTTGTTCCTGCCGTGCCTGCCGTGCGTTGGTGATGCAAGGGGGGTATTGTACGTATTTGTTCCGACGTGCCATCTCCTCGCGTCCGTACTCAATGCCGTACTCCCCTTCCGCAATGTTTTAACGCCTCCCACCACGCTCACCGCAATCTTCTTCTTGCTGGCGAAGAAGGAGTAGAGGATGGACACGCCGTGGCTGAGCATGGTCACCTCCAACCCGTACTTCTCCTTCATGATGTCGAAGAGCTGCTGCAGCGTGATGTCCGCCCCCTCGAGCTCTAGGCTATCCCACGCCGACCACTTCCACTCCTGCGGAAAATACAGCAGCGATAAAAGCAAACACACGAGCGTTTTCAGCATTTAACATTGCTTCACCAAAATTCAAACAAAAATCAGTGAAAGAGGGACAAAAATTTTGTCGTGCTTCCCGTCTCTTTAATGCATGCAATAGCGGACACTGCGCGTCGTGTCAAAACACACGAGAAATCATGCATCACGATAGCATGACAAAGATACGTGAGAACAAATATCCTCGACACCAACAACAAAATAGCAACATATCAGTGTCATCGACAAAATCAACAACAACAGCAACAACATCAAAGAAATCCATCAAACGGTACTTACCGACCCCTTCATCATGGATCAAAATGGCTTAACGTTCATTGTCATCAACGAAAGCAATAACAACAACAACAACAACAACAACAGCAGCAGTAACAACAACATAGTACATGTAATCCATCAAACGTCAACTTACCGACCCCTTGATCATGGTGGCCGTCTTGGCAGGGGGCAGCGGCTCGGAGCACGAAAACTGCGGCAGGGCGAGGTTGAGAAACCAATTCTTGTACGACTCTAGCGGCTTCTCCTGCATGATCTTGTAAACCTCCATGCACACCAGCCCCGTCACCTGGGTGCCGCGAACGAGCATTGGTAGATTGGCATGGGTGTCGGCATCGACAAGTCTTTCTCGCGGGTTGTGACAATCAACGCGTTGGCGTATTCGTGGCAGTCTTGAAACGGGTCGGTTTGTTGTCACAACACGATCTCCATGCGGTGGGATGTTGGTACGACTCACTCATGCGCATGACGCCAGATCACGCAGATATCGCGTGAACCGACGACAATCACGTGTCCGGATGAACAACAAAGGCATTGCGACAAAACGTCAACGTCTCGCCGAACGACCAGAACCACCTCCTCCGTGTATATACCGTCCCGCCACACACGCAAACGGGACGGTACACCACAACAAAATTTTCCCCATGCTCCTGGCCTCGACACTACCACCAAAAAAAAAACAACACGGCATCCTCCTCACGAGAGCAGTGGTAGTGGCGATGGCAGGGATGATCTTGCCCGCGATCTGCCTCGAGCGGTGCATGTCAGCCTCCGGGATCTTGTACACGCGTGCCCGGAGGTTGGATGCCGCGGTGACGAACTCCATGTGCTCGTCGAGGTCTTTGTCGAACTCGACCACCTCCAACCTGCCCAGCCATTGAAAGTTTTGGCATCAAAGAAGTGTTACGGTTCGCGTCAGTTCATGTTACGGTTCGTGTCACAGAAAAAATTCGAGAGCATCATGGACAAAAACCTATCGGTTAGCGTATTGCAAAAAGTCTCGATTCGCGTAGTGGAAAACATGATTCGGTTCGAGTCATCGGATATGTGTCGATTCGCCTCATGAAGTCACATCTTACGTATTGGCTCGTGAACAGCCCTAACTCACTTTGGTACGCATCGTATGCACACGAAACAGTCTAGTCTATACAGTAGCTCCTTCGAGGAAACAGGGCTACATTACCTCCACGTGCATATCTAGGGCATGTCGAACCCAAATCAACTTTCTTTCAACCTGTTTTTCTCTTATATATATATCAAATTCAAGCGCTGCGCATGATGAAACGAGCCAAAAATCTGTCAACTACAAACCCCAAAACCACACGTCTTTACACGGGACCAGGAAAACCTTCTCGAGTCCATCGTGTCCCTCAAGTCGAACGCCGCAACGACACCCTCCCTCCGTCTAACCAACCGTTACCCTTGTTCGCGCCAATCCGCATCAACGACCACAGCTTTTGCAGGGCCATGAAAACGCTACTCTGTAGCCAGTTACAGCAACAAACACAACACAAACATGGCTCCTCACCGGAAGTCCTTCATGTCTGCCGGCTTGGGTAGCTCTCCCAGCATGCGCTCGCACTGGGCGTCCACATCCTCCAGCTGCGCACCCCCTCCCCCTCCCCCTCCGCCGGCCCCTTGCTCCTTGGCCTCAGCCTCCGTCGTCGCAATCTTGACACCGTCCACAGGCTTGAATACCGGCACCTCCATCTCGCTCAGGGTCAAGGCGTAGACTGCATCATCCTATCAGGGGGCACGGGTATCCGAGAGATTGGGGGGGGGGGGGGGGGGGATACTCATGATGTTTATTATTTTTATCGTGCTTTGCATGCCGTAGCGGCACATCGTACATCATGCTCTCCCGAAAGAAGTCGAAGCTACGCGAGCCAAGCTGGTAATTGACAATACGACAACGCTGCTCAGAGAGACCAATTAGATATGCCTCCGACCAGAGAAAGGGGGAGCGCACTCGTGTTTTCCGTGCCTTAGCGATTGGACCATTGACGACGCGTCATCGAGAAGACCGTTCCCACAAGATCGATCACGGATGGCCAGTCGGGGAGGGGGTTCAAACACGTTGATTCATGCAGTGATAACGAAGCATCTGGCTAAGTGAACAGCCTGTGGTCTTCAGGTCTCGCGCGCAGGTACGAACAAACCGTATCGCATCGCTCATCCTCGCGTTCGGGGAGGGGCTCTCACGTATCAGGTTTTGGTCTACAACAGCCTCACAGCACGGAATACCGCACAGAGGCACCGTGTCCCGTGGCTATTTCGTGGCCAGCACACCTCCACAATAGCAGACAACAAAGAACATTACAGGTATGTCACATCCTAATCGAAAACAATGGCATCCACACAGCAAACTTATCTAAAGTCTTGGTAGACTATACATTAGTACTATAGTAGTGTACACGGAGAGGTAAGGGTTAGGGTCAAAGCTTACCGTTGGAGGTTCGATCCCGTACATGAGCGCGAGGAGCACGGCGGCCCCCTTGACAAAGCTCATGTGCAAGACATCGTTCGGGTCGAAGTCGAGAGGGCAGGGGGGGCGCTTGGCTCCTGACCAGAAAGGGTTTCCCGAAGATGTGACGCTGTCCACCGGGAAGTTGTGAAGGAGCTGTGGT